CCTAAACCCTAAGCTTAAGCAGGAAAGCAAGTTCAAGTCTGAGGGGCCGTTTCTCAGCATCGCCTTCAGCCGCAAGTGCCTAGGTCCACATCTGCCAAGACGCTGTGACCCCAAACCCTAAACCCTAAACCTAAACCCTAAACCCTAAACCCTAAACCCTAAACCCTAAACCCTAAACCCTAAACCCTAAACCCTAAACCCTAAACCCTAAACCCTAAACCCGAAGCGAGACCCCAATTTTTAGGATTTTGCGTCTAGGGCTCAAGGGGCGGGGCACTTGACAGCGATTCGCCTTGGGTCTAATATCCAAAGGAGAATACATCGAGGAACCCTCCTCCCCTAAACCCTCCCTTAAAAAGCCAAAACCCTACTCATTGTAGTTTGCCTAAGAGTGGTACAAAGGGGCTTTCTTTGAATGAGCTACAGAAGAGTAGGAGTTGGCTTCGTAAGGTATGTTCACTGTCATGCATCCTTTTTTCTCACACTCGCTTCCACAGGCTTCTCCTCTCATCGCCAGCTTCTAGTTGTTTGGCTCGCCCCCTCATGGCCTTGAGCTCCTGCGACTCCACGAAAGCCAAAGTGGGTTTCCCCGGAATCGTGATTTGTTTGGCTTTCTCGGCAATGGCGTGCTCCAGGTCTCCTTCTGGTGCTTGGTTCATGAGCCAAGTTTCAACTTTGCTCGCTTCCCCCAGTTTCCTGGGCCCCCACTGTGGTTCTGCTGTATTGTGTCCTGGTGTCGCCCAGGGGATCTCAATGGTCACCGGCTCGTGGTCCGAGGATGCCACATCTCTGAGCTGACCAACTACTCCCTGTGCAGGCACAGATAACCCTCTGACTATGACATAGTCCAAACGTCTTGGCGCAAAAGCCGGGTTGTAGGGAAAGTGGGTGGGTTCTTCCAAGCATTGATCTGGAAGTTTGCCTCTGCCTCGAGTCATCCAGTTCAAAATCGCTTCTCCTCTTGCCGACGTGGCTCGCTCTCCTCTGTCTGCTGCCAAAAAGGTTTTATTGGCATCTATGCCCACCAGCACCTTGCCATAGTCCCATATTTGTTCCAAGCTTGCAAGAATCTCCTCCGTCTGCGGAACGGTCGCGTGGTGTGGTATGTGTACAGAGGCCAGGCGGATGCGGAGCCGTCCCGAGAAGGCAACAAAGGTAGTGACAACAGCTGCATGCATCACTTTCGAGTTCTCATGTACTCCCATGCCAGTGCGAAATGCAATGCCTTCTCCTCTCCATTCTCGGCTTGTTTTCCCGCTGACCAGGATCCACCCATCAGCATTGAGATATTGAATTCCCTCATCTACGATGAGCTCTTGCAACAGTACGAAGCTTGCCCTCCCCTTCTCCTTGAGGGGTGAGCCAGGGCTCCCCCGGATACCTCGCAGAACTTCCACCGCCTTGTGCGGTGTGAGCCCCCGCGACGTTCCAGGTGATCACGAGAACCGTTTCGGGTCTCGCCATGTTTGCTCCATTGCCACCGAGACGGTGACGATCGTGAAACAGTTGTAGCCACTCTGCTTGTCACTTGAGGGCGGCGCTGAGCTCCACCCACCTTTGCTGGACTGTCTCAAGTGGGACCGCAAGTTGCTCCCCAATGACTCGGAGGGCGACCCAGCCATTCTTGTGCTCTTCTGACTCCGGTGGGCCTTGCGTAGTCGCTGATGCCACAATGCCACTCTGCGGTCTTTGTACCACACGCTTCCAGTTCTCCATTCCACCTCCAGCTGGTTCTTGATTCCCCCCTTCTCGAGGATGAGGCGTTTGGCCTTCGCTGCAAATGCCGCTTTACGCCGTCTTTCCCGTTTGAGAGATGCTCATCCACAGCACGTGCGCTGCGCCGTCGCCTTTCGTGCCCAGCTGCACGTTTGCATCTCGGACTTTGGCGATGCCTTCATGGACGCGCATGCGCGTGGCCTCAGGTGTTTCCCCCATCCGAGGGCGAAATGGCACAATGACGTAGCCTCTTCTGATCCCCGGGACGAATGCCTCTTCCATGTCCAGGTTGACGCGGAGCTGGCGAATGACATCTGTCGCTTTCGCCAATGTGACGGCGGCTTGCTGCTCTTCTGACCAACCCCCCAGTATCACTGCCGGGGGTTTTTCCCCGCCATCTGTGCTCGTTGAGGATCCCGCGGGCGAGAAGTTCGCAACCTTACCCTCCAAGAGCTCCATGCGCATACTGAGGGCTTCATGATCTTCTCGAAGGCGCGCGACGTGGCTCCCCGGTTGCTCCTGGGCCCCCGTGAGTTTCTACAACAGTTGCATGGTTCCCCCGATCTGCTTGGTGACTTCCGCCTCCACACTGTCAATCCTTTGCTTGACGTGGTCCACCGCGGTCTTGACTTCCGAGACGATTTTAAGCTCTCCCTTGATGGTCTGCTTGATGAGCTCAACCGTGTCGATTGCGCTTAGCCCTTCTTGGTTGTCTTGTTCCCCTGCTAATTTATGCTTACCATGAGGGGAAAAAGCTTCCACTCCCAGAGCCAAGGTCGTTTGCATCTGCGGCGCCCCTGCCATTGTCACGGACTTGACGTTGAAATTCTCCCTGGCGTGGTGGAGGATCTGCTGGATCGTCTCGGCCCCCTCGCCCCCCCGAGTGTCGCTCTCTCCTTCAGTGCTCAGGCTCCCCCGCGCGCCGAAGCCAACAGCCGCGGTTCACGAGGTTCACCGAAGCCCCCCTCGGAGATGAAGACAACCCCCACGAGTCGCAAGTGTAGGACAGCAAACTTCACTGTCACGGAGATGGCTGTTCATGAGCCCGCAGCCGTGCACCCAAACCTTCAACTGCGTCTGGGTGGCGCTGCTTAGCCTGTGGCCTGCGCCGATCCCCCGTTGTGTACCCCGCCCTGCAAAATCACGAAAACAAAACGAAAAGACTACGCTCCGGTTCGGGATCTTGAACCTCGCCTTCCAAATCTAAAAGTGACAGTTACTAGTAGTGATTGTTGGCGCTGGCTGGCACTCTTGCTACGAGCTTTTGCCATGTGTACTGCTGTGTTCCCAAATCCCTTGTTGCCACCTCGCCAACCCGCCCCCTCTTTGCGCTTTGCGAATGAATGCATTTTGGCTCAAGTGTGCACGGTAGAAGCACGCGGCTTGCCTGATGGTAGTCTGCCTGCAGCACTGCAGGACTGTTGTGCACGGCTGGTGCAGCGGAACTGTGGAGCTGTCACGCTCCTGGATGTGTTAGCAAGGCGTGAAAAGAACAAGGCGCGATTGCACCTGCCACTCCGCGTTGTTGCCTTCACTCGTCACTCGTCCTCGTCGTCGTCGCAGTCGTAGTAGTAGCAGCTATAGTGGTAGTGGAAGCTCGTAGCTCGCGGTCCCACGCGGCACGCAGCATGGGCAGAAGCGCAGGGCCTCTCCACCACCTGAGCAGTCAAGAGCCAACACAGGAACTACGAGAAGTCACAAGAGGAAGGATGCACGTTACCGTCCTGGCCCGTCCGTTGCAACGGACGGGAATACCGGGGATACTCCATCGCGAATCGCTCGCCGTTGCATGGAAGGAGAGTCCATGACAAGAATCAATGATGAAGCAAGTCGCTGACGCCCTGGTCACACTTGAGCCAAAATGGCTTCTCTCTCTCTCTCTCTCTCCCTCTCCCTCTCTCCTCCTATTATCATATGGCGGAGATGTTCACGGTGCAAGGTGAACACACCAGCCACGCGCAAGTTCATTTCATACGGGTGCGAGATGGCAAAGTTTGGAGCGGATAGCCTTGAGGGGGTTTTCATTGCGTGCGGCGTACGTCTCAGGGTCACGGACTTTGGGTGTTTATAATTAAGGGTTGCGCACTGGAATCGACCTCGCAGCTTGTGGTGACGGGGCCTTGGGGCATAACTCTCACCCCAAGCACCAGGCGATAATCCGCTGCAGACCCTTAACCCTGAAGGCTGAACCCTAAACCCTAAGTCGTGCCGGGGGCGCTGGTTGCACGCCCACAACCCATCCTAGCGTTCCCAGTATCCCCAAAACACCCGTTCTTGTCCCAACAGCATCGAAGGGTTTCCGATATGAAATTGGGCTCCGCAACCAGAACACAATACAGATACCAAGCCATAAGCTTCGTGAACCCAGCCAAGCCGAGGCGAACTGTTCGTCATACTGGTTCTTAGTCCAGGAAATTACGGAATTAAATCCTCTATCTCCCCCCTATTTTTGCATATATGCAGATACCCTTATGTCCTTCGTTCCTTCCTAAGAACCAGTAGGTCGTAAACTCACCCCTACCCCCCCCCCCCCCCCCCCCCAAAAAAAAAAAAAAAAAAAAACCTGACTCCTAAACGCTAAACCCACAATCGGGCAGGACACAAGGTGTAGCCGGCCCTGGCCAGGGCTGCAGAAGCCGCCTCGGCCACAAGCTCTTCGGCGGCCTCAACGGGGGGCCACAGGGTGGCAGCTTTTGGGTTAGGGTTTAGGGTTTAGGGTTCAGGGTTTAAGGGTTAGGGTTTAGGGTAACAACGTTTAGGGTGTAGAGGTTTAGGGCAGCAAGGTTTCGGGTTAAGGGCAACAAGTTTTAGGTTTTAGGCATTAGGGCCACAACTTTTAGGGTTTAGGGTAAGAACTTGCAGGGTTTAGGGCTTGAGGGTGGCATTTTGTAGGTGCTTCGTCTTGCTGAGGGACATCTCAGGGCTTTAGGGCCCTTCGTAAACCCTAAACCCTAAACCCGAAGAGCTTGAAGGCTTCATTCATATGCGGCCAAGGGATAGGGGATAGGATTAGGGGGACCCTGGGGGCTATAGACCCTCTCAACAAGGTCCCTGTTTCAGAGAGCCAGAAGAGGGTTCAGAAGGGTTCCCTTTTAAGGGTCCCCCTTATCCTACCTAGGAAGGGAGAAGATATTCAGTTTCAGCGCTTGGGGTGTGCAAGCGGTTTGGTTTAGGTTGGTGTCCCTCTATTTCGACCATGTAAGGGTAAGGGGACCCTAGAAGGGATCCTTACTCTTATTCCTCTATACAACCCCTATATAACCCTTTCTATATACACACACCCGAATTCTGCAACGGGCTTTCGTTCCTCCGCCGGGAGGTGCACCACCGGACTGCGCGTCTCCCCACAAGCAACCTGAAACTTCAAAACCTAGGTGAGACCCAACACCCAAAACCCTATGAACCCTCTGAACCCTCTGAGCCCTCTGAACCCTATGAACCCTATGAACCCTGAGCCCTAACCCTAAATCCTAAACCCTAAACCCCAAACCCTAAACCCTCCTAAACGCCGCCAGCCAAGCCTGCAATGTGGAGTTGAGAACGCCATCCAGGTTTTCGTCTCCCAAACCCTCGGCCGGCAAGCCTCTGGCATCAGAGGTTCTTCCGTTTAGGGGCTTCGGGGGGTTTAGGGTTTAGGGTTTAGGGTATAGGGTTTAGGGTTTAGGGTTTAGGGGTTGAGGTCCGGCGGCTTTTGGTTCTGAACTTCGGGTCACAACCAGATCGCAGTAGCCACAGGACTGTCGTGGCAAACCTTGAAAAACCCTAAGCCCTAAACCCTAAATCCCAAGCCCTCGCAGCTCCAGGGCCAGGTCTCAACACGCCAACCCCCCCCCCCCCCCCCCAAATCGTGTGCATCACCCCCCCCCCACCCCCCCCGTAAGCTGCACCCTAAACCCTAAACCCTAATGCCCCTAAACCCAATAAGCCCAGGACCTTCCTTAAACCCCTGTTTAACAGCAGGCTTCGAGGATCACACCGCTCAACCCCTAGGCCTGAAACCTTTAAACCCTAAGACCCTAAACCCTAAACCCTAGAACCCTAAACCCCAAGACCCTAGAACCCTAAACCCTAAACCCTAAAACCCTAAACCCTAAGACCCTAGAACCCTAAACCCTAAACCCTAAACCCTAAAACCGCCCTAAACCCCTAAGCCGGCTAGGTCATCCCAACCCGCACTGGCCGAGTGTCCGGAGGGTTCCGGCAGCTCCGGGCCCACTGCCTCCAAAAGCTGATGGCTGTCCTGGGTTTTGGGTTTAGGGTTCAGGGTTCAGGGTTCAGGGTTTGGGATTGGATGGCTTACTTGAAGGTTCGTGGGTAGAAGTGGGGTTAGAAGCAGGGGAACTGTACTTATGACAGGTTGTAACCTCATTAAGGGTACTTATAACCCTTGACCCTCCAAGGGTTCAGGGTTTAGTGTTTTTGGTTTAGGGTCCACAGGGTTTTGTCGGGGGTTGGGGGGGCTTTGTGTTGAGGTTGGGTTAAGGGTTCAATAAGGGTGTTTTCAGGGTCTTATTTGGGTTTAGGGTTTTTTGTAAGGTTTGATAGGGTGTAGGGTGGAGCTGCCGTGTCGTCGTTTTTGTCGCCACCCGCCTACCTGACATCGCAACATCGCTCCGCTGGGACTCATCGAGGCATCGCGTGCAGTTTTAGGGGCTTTGGATGGTTTTTTGGGTTTTGGGTGTAGGGTTCAGGCTGACTTAAAGGTTCATGGGAACTTAGAAGTGGGGTTAAAGTAGGCTAACCATACTTACAACTGGCTCGAACCTTCTTTAGGGTGCTTAGAACCCTGCTTACGACTACCCATCGCAAGCCCTGTAAGTCTAAGAATGATGCACCACACCCCAAACCCATACCCCTTAACCTATAAAAGGAAACTGTAAGGAAGTCTAAGGGAGGATATTGCCATACCCCTTAATTTTTTTAAGGGTATGTCCGAGGGATATGTTAAATATTTCTTAGAGTAACTTAACCCAGAGGACCCTAAACCCTAAACCCTAAACCCTAAACCCTAAACCCTAAACCCTAAACCCTAAACCCTAAACCCTAAACCCTAAACCCTAAACCCTAAACCCTAAACCCTAAACCCTAAACCCTAAACCCTAAACCCTACCTTGCTGCAGGTTTCGAATCCTCGGAGTCTTCTGGCCATGGCCTACAACGAAGTCGGCCTTGGGCTCTTGAATTTTGAGATGTCCGAAACCCTACACCCTAAACCCTAAACCCTAAACCCTAAACCCTAAATAAACCCTCAACCCCAAACAGCGAGAGACCAGAAGACCGGTCCTCTTGCTTGGATCGCCGGTTCTTGAAGTACAGGTCCTGAACCGCTTTTTCGAGTTTGGGGATTCGTGGTAGCCCAGTAGCCATCCTAGAGTCAGGGTGCCCCTTCTTTTTTGGTTGCTTACTTAGAATCTTTAGAAGGGAACCAAAAAAGAGGGTAAAGGGCACCACGGGGCTGCCAAGGTTTGTAAGGTTTATGGTCTAGGGCTTCTGCAAGCACTCCCTGCAAAGGAAGGGGGTTCAGGTGTTTTTCACCACCCGTTCCGCATGCGTTTACGGGGGTAGAGGTCAGATTTTACGATGGGCCAAGTGCAGGTTGACATTACAGGGCATCTCTCGTGAGTACTCTCAGGGCTGTTCATTGAACACAAAAACTTCAGGGTTCCAGGGGTGGGATAGCAGTTCATCTGGTCAAAGGGCCCTTTCAACCAGGCATCGGATCTAGATCTGGTAGACTTCCCCTTTTCTTGCGGAAGTAGGCTAGAGCCTCTTACATGTGTAGGCCTGATTCCGAGGGTTTTGGGCGAAGGGACGGTTGCACTGGCCGAGGTTGACGGAAGGAAGTTAGTTCCAAACAGGGTTTGTAGCCCCTAAACCCTAAACCCTAAAGGGTTATAGAGTTAATTTAGGGTTTGTAGGGCCGGGGCTTCGGGTTGGGTGTGAGCTTTGATCTCGCCCTTCAATACAGAATTACACCTGAAAACAGCCACGAGACAGTAGGCTCGTGGGGGGTGCTAATCGATGCCCTCAACTATTAATGGGTAGTGGTCTCTGGGTCCCCGAATCATCCGGAAGCCTTGAAGTTCGAGAAGTCCAGAGTGTTGCCCACCTTGACTTCGTTTGCTGGGGGGGGGGGGGGGGGGGGGGGGGGGGGGGGCCTTTCAAAACTCATTTTTTTTCGCCTGGTTGCATGTGGAATAGGTGCCCGCAGTTCAATTTCTACGCCTTGTTACATATGGAATAGGTGCCCGCAGACCTCTGCAGATGATTCCAAGTCAACCGGTTGGAAGCTTTGAGGTCGTCTAACTCATGGGGTCCTCTCTACAAAGGGGGACCCCGAAATTGGCCGGTCTTGCGAAGGGGGTTTAGGGTTTAGGGTTTGGGGTTCGGAATCCATGACCTGACGTTCTGCAGAGCACCTATGCCAAAGAGCACCTTCTGAAATCCACCTCGGGGTTGCCTGACGAGTTGTCCATCAATCTTCTAGACCCCAAGACCCTAAACCCTAAACCCTAAACCCCAAACCCTAAACCCCAAACCCCAAATTGGGGTGCTTTGGCTTCTTCAAGTCCTGGAGCCGCTTCTGTTGTGAGGAGGGAGCACTTGGAGGTTCAGGGTACCTCTAAGGCCCAACTACAACAACACTTATAAGCCCCCTAAGTAGGCTATGAGTAGACTTAGAATTGGGGTTCTTTAAACCCTACACCCTACACCCTACACCCCAAACCCTAAACCCTAAACCCCAAACCCCAAACCCCAAACCCTAAACCCTAAACCCTAAACCCTAAACCCTAAGCTGCAAGTGAATCATCGACCCCGGGAGCCCTGGTGGGATGGGAAAGTGATGGGACACCCGGCACCTGAAGCCCTAAGATTCGGTTTAGGGTTTAGGGTTTAGGATTTAGGGTTTAGGGTTTAGGATTTAGGGTTTAGGGTTTAGGGCTTAGGGTTTAGGGTTTAGGGTTCAGGGTTTAGGGTTTCGAGTTTAGGGTTTAGGGTTTGGGGTTTAGGGTTTTCTTCCAAAACCCTAAACCCTCAACACTTTTTGGGCCTAGAATCGCATGCACATCCGAATCCCTAAGCCCTAAAAGCTTCCCTAAAGGCTCCGCATGTGGTACCCTTGTTAGTGGCTAAATTAGCGGCTCAACCCTAAACCCTAAACCCTAAACCTTAAACCCTAAACCCCAACGTCCTTGGAAACGAGCCCAAAAAGAAACCTTCCGGTAGCTACAGCCGATCCCATGAGGCCCCCAAACCTGCTCCAGATCCTGCGTGGACTGCGTCAGCATCGAGGGCTCCTGGGGTTTAGGGCTTTTAGGGTTTAGGGTTTAGGATTTAGGGTTCAGTAATTTAGGGTTTAGTAATTTGGGGTTTAGGGTTTAGGGTTTAGTAATTTGGGGTTTGGGGTTTAGGGCTTCGGGCTTAGCCAGGTTTAGGCCCTGCTAGACGACAGCTGCAGGCGACGAGCTGTTTGTCAAAGCTCAGAAATTCGCTATGCAATCCAACACCAACAAAGGGAGCTCCCCACATACCACACGGGAAAGACGTCGCCAACAACCTTCCGACGACCACCACCCTAAACCCTGAACCATAAACCCTAAACCCGTAACCCCAAACCTTAGAAGCCCTCCAAGTTGCTCGCACTCCCCTTGCCGTGGGGTGCTCAACCGAAGCGAGTCTCCCCAGAGACTCAACGCACCCTAAACCCTAAACCTCAAACACTAAACCCTAGGCCCGAATTAAACCCTATACCCCCCGCCCCCCGCGGGTTTAGGGTTTGCTTGGGGTCTTGCTGTGATTGCGGGGCTGGTAATTATTTCAAGTCCCCTGCCCTGCTCCTGGTGCGCCGACTGGACTGGCATACTCGAAGAACCTTGAGGGAATGAGTTCGAGACAAGTAACCACCACGGAATGACTACCAGTAGAAGATGCAAACAGCTAAGACTCAGCACTTCTCAAACTTCCTGCAGCTCTGACCATTTCGCCCGGCAAGAACACACGAAATCTCCAACACACATGTCAAAAAAGCTAGAGGCAAGCATCCTTCATCGTATTGCGAGTTTGCTTCCGTGGGCGAGGGGAGCGTAGACTGGTCATCGCCTCGTAAAGGCCGAAAGCGGTCTCTATCCCCATGTTCACCTGGTAGCCCAGCAACCATATTTAAATAAGGGCACCCTTTTTTTGGGGTTGGTTACTTTATATGGGAACCTTGAAGCAAAAAAAAAGGGTAAAGGGTACCATTGGGCTACCAAGATTCAAGGGTTCTAAGGCATGAGGTTCTAAG